TTTATTCACGTTTTTTTTATGATTTCTTGTTTTTTTATTATATGATAATTAATATGAATAATATGTATATTGTTTAACAATTAAACGCATATGAATAAATTACTATTGCAATTTGCATAGTATATAATTCAAGTTTTAGATTTTATTTATTTTTGAACAAGTAAAATTTTGTTTATTTTAACAATATAAATGGTATATTTTTCTATGCCTTTTCAGTATCATTTAGGCATAGTCTTTTACAAGAAGCTCATTCGGTTGCTTCTCAATTAGTTTGTAAAACAATTTTCATAAATTGTGAAAGCCAGAAGTTTGTCTATATCCAGCTGACCTCTTCATATCTCACTTGTCTGTATATTGGGTCTCTAGAGGAGCACAGTCTACGTATAGATGGGTGCTAGAGAGATGTCTGTAGTAGGAGATGCGATGCACAAACTCGAGCCAAGTCGTTTAGGGTCTAACAATTTGGATTCTGTAAATGTATGCGTGATTGTAGGTGGGGTATAGGATGCTTCTGTCTGTGTGTGTGTGTGTGCTTATGGTACAGTTGTGTACAAAATGTGTTCCTACCAAAGTGCTGAGGGTTTTCGTTAGGCTCTTTGACAGCCTTGCCATAATTTTAGATTCAACTGTGAACCTTAACGAAAACAAAATTTACATATTTCTGTTAATTTTGCATTGAAGTTGGGTTTATAACGAAGAGGAAACACTTGAAATTTGCATATATTTGCTTCACACACTCACACACACACACACACCTACAACGACTTCTACATATGCAAATTTGTGTGCTGCAAAGTTTTCATATAAAATACAAGTGAAAACAGACAGAGAGAAAATAGCTTTAGATTGGGGGCAGCTGCCAAGGGTAAGTACAACAAGGACAAGGAGCACAATAAGCAATGGCTATGGCGGCCATTGCCAGCACACCCACACACACGCACACTGCTACATACTTAAACCCTCAGAAATATATACATATATATAGCATCATAAATTCTGCGCT